GGAGGAGGCGCGGCAAGGCCCGCCCGCCGCCGCTTCGCCCCGACGTGGGTCGCCGCCACCACGTCGGCGACGGTCGGCTGGGCGGGGGCGGGGGCGGAGGCGGGGGCGGGGACGGGCCGCGGCGGGGGCTTCCATCGCCGGCGGGGCGGGAAGCAGCGGGAGGCGGCGGTGGGCTGGCGAGCGGTTGGCTCCCGCGCTAGCGAGGATGACTGCGACGAGGAGGAGTGCGGGTTGGGGGGAGATTTTCCCCTCAACCCCTACTTCTACAGATTGCAAAGTCGTTTAAGGGTTGGACCTCTAAAATTTTTTACGGGTTTGAGGGTTTAGAGGTTCTAGTCTACGGAGTTTTTTCGGCGAAAACTGTAAAAAAGCGGTTATTTTTAGGGATTTGAGGGTTTGAGGGCTCTACTAGTAATGCTCTTAGTCTATGACAGTGTGGCAATGTAAGGAATGCATGCCTAAGGAATTGTGGTGTGACTCAGAAGTGCATGACTACACCTTGCTGCCAAAGCTTTGCCTGCTAAAAGCTCGCCTCCTCTCTAGCTCGAAGTGGATATCAAGAGAGCCTTCGAGGCGGTATCACAACCCTTTGTGTTCGACATGCTGCCACACCTCGATTTTGGGCCACATTGGAGGAACTGGGCGGCCATCCTTCTTGCCAGTTCAAAGCTCCTGCATCCTCCTCAATAGTCCCTGGGAATAAGATCCATGGTCGGGGTTTGCAGAAAGGGGACCCTCTGTCCCCTGTGCTCTTCATCCTGGCTATGGAAGTCCTAAGTGCCTTATTCCAGACAGCCGGAGCATCCAACATGTTCCGATCTTTGGGTCATGTGGGCATCCGTCACCAGGTGTCAGCTATATGCTGGTGATGTGGTGGTCTTTTTCAGACCCATCGAGTAAGACCTTGATGCGGTGAATGCACTGCTAGAGCAAGTGCACCGTCACACCCACTAGACATTGATGCTGCTGCTCCCGGCCTCACAACTAATGTGACCAAGTGCGCCATCAAATCCATTGGGTGCTATGAGGAGAACGCCCAGCTAGCCCTACAGCCCTTCCCTTGTGCGGCAAAGCGTTTGCCTTGCACCTAGCTGGGCTGCATTTGTCAATTAAGAAGTGGCGAAAGCAGGACCTCCAGGCTCCAGCCACTCCTCAATAAAGTGCTAAGCTCCCAACCTGGAACACGAACATGCTGACGAGGGGCGGCTGGTTGGTGCTCACCAAGACAATGCTCTCCACTCTCTCAGTGTATCACATGCTGCGGTTTCCATGGACGATCTGGCAGCTTAAGGCAATTGAGAACTGCCATTGTACCCTCATCTAGAAGGGCATCAAAGAAGTGGCAGGCAGCTTTGAGTGTTGTCTGTGCACCCTATGAGTATGGAGGTCTTAACGTCTTAAACTTCTTGGTTACAAACTCCATGTTAGGTGGATGCGGCTGCACCATACCAACGCCGCATGCACCTGGGCCGATCTCACTATGCAGCACGAGGTCCAGCAGATATTCCACGCGACAGCGAACTTTGTGTTTGGGGATGACCAGGTCAACCTGTTCTGGGAGAATCAGTCAAATCCATCACCGGGCCCTCTGGTTCAAGACTGCCGAAACTCAAGAATCTAGGAAGGTCGCTCAGGCAATGGATGGGCTAGCTTGGGTCCACGACATCACTGGCGTGTTCAGAGTCACTGACCTAGCGTAGTTTAGTAACTCTCCCTGTGCCGTGGTTCTGGCACCACCCTCATCGCTGGCCAAGAGAGTGTAGTCCTTTGGTGGCAGTCGTCAGATTTGCCATACTTGGCGCAATCAGCTCATAAAGCGTTCTTCCTTGGTCACACCACCTTCCCTTACTAATCACTAAAAAGCCGTGCGCCCCTAATGTGTCGATGTTTCCTTTGGCTAGCATTGCAGGAACACCATGGCCTCCCTAGCCACGACACTGCAGCCTGTAGCAGAGCATCTCTTCATCTCCTGCCCACGGTCGAGGCAGCAGCTACTGGGTCCTATCCTCCAACGTGCAGGCCATGGCACCGATGCAATCCCCTTGGCAGCTAACTCTTGAGGGTTGTGGCTGTCTATGCATAGAAGTACTCTGAAGCACAAGATGAACCTTCTGGCTGTGGTGTACAACATCAAGGCGGAAATGGAGCTGTGGCAACGGGCTTTCAACTTTCGTTTGGGTGAACCAACATGAGTAACTAGTGTGTGCATATTGCCTTTCTGTGTTGTAAAAGTTGCCTCTTCTGCAGTCTAGTATTGACCTTGATCTTTAGCACTATCTCCCAAACTCTTGTACTTATCATACTTTACTTCTTAATGCAAACATATGCAAGCACATGTTTGCACAATATATAAAACCATACTTTCATGGGCTAATTGTCTGTTTTGACTTGTAAGAATTAACCAAAAACAATTTTTGAAATTTTATTCCAGACAGCACATTACGTGAACAGGAACACAAAAACATGCAATCCAACAGTAAATCAACAAATGCATGGGTAACATCCAATATATCTTGAAATTCAACCGCCAATGGAAGTGAAAGTTACAGCTTCAAGCTTGAATATTTGTAGTGCTGAAGAACAATGAATGTGCAGTTTCACAAAACAAGCCAACGACCTAACTGTGAAAGGGTGTCTTACATGTGCCCTCAGAGCTATGCCACAACAATAACAGTCTACAGCACACATAAACGAGAAATTGATTTTCATGGGGAGTTTGGTGGTGTTTTGCTGAAATATGAGCAGTAAGCTATTGCGCCACTGGTGCAACACCGCCATTTCCAGGGACTGGGAGTGCAGCTCCAGGAGAGCAGGAGGGTTCGTGGCCATTGGAGTGGTGGAGAGAGTCAATGTGTCACTCATGCTGGCTGGGGTTTTACGATAGGGCTAAGGAAGGAGAATATGTGTTTCCTCTTATACCAAAATAGACTATGTAACTCTGATAATGTATATTAATTCATGCATACGAGTATTTATACAAGATAACATGAGATGCTGAGAGGAATAAGAGAGCAAATGCCGCTAGCCATGCACCAAACTCGGCAATCTGATAAAACAGTGATCCAACCAACGTGCCATGATCATGTAAAAGTGTAAAAGCTACTCGTATACTGGTAGTTGAGGTGCAAGCCATTATCCCTTAGTTGTCCAACAAAATCTATCTAGTAGTGCCTTACACATCAACTAGTTCAGAAATAGCACATGATTAAAAAAATTGTGAATTAAACAATTTTCTAATCAATGGCTCACCAGTTTTGGTTTGCTGTAATAAGAAATTAAGAGGATCATCAGTATTCTCGTAGTTGGAAATATGCACCAGAGTGCACTTGCATCATTTATCGTTGTGTAAGACAATCCGTATACTAGTTCTGGAGATAACATAATTAATTTTAACAGCATCCCTTTGTTTACCCTAATCCTATCTTTTCAGTTTAAAAGCCGCTCCTGTTGACTAATGTGTCAAACTGTCAATGTCCTTGATGCTTAACCTTGTGGTGTGTTATCTGTCTGATATATCCTTCATGCCTGTTGTGCGCTGATGTTTCCATGACGCATTTTATCTCGTAGTAAAACATAAGATGGAATTTCCTGCAATATAATTTAGTTTACCCGAAGTCTCTTTTTTTTCTTTGAGCAAAAGAGAGGTTTTCCCTCTCCGATTTCATATAAAGAGACCAAGTTTTAGTAGTATCAATCTCAGCTACCCGAAGTCTCTACACGGTAGCAAAAGCGAAAGTTGTGGTTGCATCGACACGGTAGCAAAAATACAGTGACAATCGGCTCTTAACCCAGCAGGTAATAATAGCTTCCCACGCATCGTACCACAGGTAGCTAACTTTGGCACGAGCCTCGAATCCAGGACACAGATGAAGAAACAATACAGTGGATTTTACAGCAGAAAAATATAGGGGGGGAGTGAAGAGGCGCGGGAAGAGGAGTTGCCTGAGACGAAGAGGTTGTTGCAGGGCTCCGCCGCGGGGCGAGCGGTGGGGGGAGGCGGGGGAGCGAAGGCGGAGACGGAGAACATCCGCCGGAACCCGACCCGTGCTGCACCGGCGCGAGCTGCGACCGCCGCCATGTATGATGTCTCGATGAGTCGGTGGCGAAAGCGGCGCTGCGAGCGAAGGCGAATGGAGGCTTCGCGTGCTTGCGGCGGAAGGGTTTACGCTTGTGCCGGATTGCCGAAGAGTGTAGGCCTTTCTGGGTGGACCGAATTGGGCGGAATCCTGGCCCGGCAAAGCCATTTTCTTCGCTGACTGCTGCCCCTGGGCCGTTCCAGCGCGGGGCGGCCCAAATAACATTAAATCTTTTCTCAAAACAATTTGTTACAAAACATGAGGGGTTGTCCTAAAAAAAATGAGGGGTTTAACCAAGCTTTATTACTCAAATTCCACAGCTTGTGGGATACAAAACAGATCATGGGGAACTGACATCCAAACATGCCTCCCCATGTCCAGGGAATGTGAAAACTTGCATGGATCTCTTCGTCGTCGGGGACAGTGGACATCGGAGCGGCGGCTCCGGGTGGTTTCTGATTGTGCGCCGAGATGGCGATCTCGGGAACAATGTGAGTGGCAGCTCTATGTGGCGGGGCTCTATCTCGGCATTGGTTGGGTGGCATCCTTGTCCCGCTTGGGCGGTAGGGGTGTCGGCTCGGTCGATGCGCTCCAGAGGGGGCGATCTGACTTTACGTCGGGGCGGCGACCCCGGAATATGGTGCGACGTTCGTGGTCTGCGAGCGGTTGCCCTGAGCAGCGTGGGCTGCGGGCAGCTGGGTTGTGCGGCGTTGCTGCTCTGGGGGAGCGGTGGTATGTTGGGGCGGCGGCCCCGGAAGGCGGTGCCGGTTGATTGCGTTGGGCGCGACGGAGCGGTGGATGTCGGGGCGGCGGCCCCGAGAGAATCACTGTGGCGACCAAACTTCTGTGGCAACGATGATGGTGGGAGCGATGTCGACAACGCGGCAATGGTTGCGGTAGTCGGCTCTTCTTCGGCGTGTTCACGGTATTGCCTCGGTTCGTTTGTTGCTGTGGAGTCGAAGCTGCGGTGGCAGGGCCCTGTGGTGTACGATGATTGGCTGCAGGTGGTCCGTTCGGTGATCTTCCATGGCGCCAGCCGTGCCTGGTTTTGTTCCTCTGAGTTCTTCGTCAAAGTCGGAGCTGCGTTGTCTGGCCGTAGGTCGACATGTCGTCGATTAGGGTGGGCTTTGCCCTGTGTGTTTCAGTCTTTGGGTGTGGGCTTGGCCCTTGTTGTTCCGGTTTTTGCCCGGTTTTCCGTAATTAACTGGGCAATTCTCTTCTGCTTAATTAATAGATGAGGCAATCTTTGCCTCCGTTTTAAAAAAAAACTTGGCTAGTCTATCTGCGTCGATATTCGACGCTCTACCTTCGAAAAGAAAATTACAATTAATGGATAATGCTCTCAGTTTGATCTCACTGACGATAGCTCTATAGCCTCCCCTACTACCTTTGTCGATATCATTTATAACTGGCTTCGAATAAGAGGCAATGACAACATTTTGTAGCCCAAGATCCTCCCCCCTATGCCAAGCCCTCTCTAGATGTGATAGCTTCCAACGTCACCACATCTGTTATTCCCCTAATCACCAAGACTGAACTCCCAAGGAAGTTCCCCATTGCATTCCAGAACAGTGCTACACGCACGACACTATTGACCGATTTACGCACGATCACTAAGTCAGTTGAGCCTTTCATCACGTCTGAGTGGAGTAGCACCTTTCGAAAGGAGGGGGGTGTCTACCCAAATTTTCTGTCTCCTCTACCTATAGTGGATTTGGGTAGCCAAAATTTAGGTCTGCTATTGGAGATGATGTTAGGATAATCTGTTGATGGTAAGAGCATCTCCATCCGTTTGGCCTCCCGGGGGCTTGAAATAGCATCGCCTGGGGACGAACCGTCAATAAATTCGGCGTGGAAGCGGTTGGTTTCCCAGACGCCGCCCCAAGGTCACCCAAACACCATTTCTTAAAACCAAACTCGGCCGAAAATCGGGCAAACATGACACAAATTCGGCCAAACTAGGCGATTTCATTGATATTTAAAAAAAACTAAAAACATAATTTAAAAACAACTAAAACTACGACTATTGCGCCGCCGCCGCCGTCGAGCAGCCTGTAGAACTTGGTGTCGTCGTCGCCGTCGTCTTGTGTGGGCCCGCCGTCCCTGTTGCACCCCTGACCAGGGTCGCGATGCGTGGGGGGTTGGAGGGACTGGGCGCCTCGTCGTCGCTGTCGTCGAGGACGACGACGACGCCCTCCTCGCGTCCGCCATCTCCTCGTGGACATAGTCCTCACGCGCCCATTTGAGGGCGGTCTCGTCGTCGGCGGCCATGCCCTCGTGCTCCTTCACGGGGAGAAGACCCGGGTCGGTCTTTGGCCTGACGAGGCGGGAAGAGGGAGGAGAGGGGCCATGGCCGCCGTCGTTGATGACAAGGGCGCCGCCACGGGCGCGGCGCCTGAGCGGCGTCTCCTGTGGCTCTGGCTTGACGGGGCGGAGCGCCGGCAAGCCGGATGAGAGTGAGCCCGACGAGGAGGATGTCGTTGTCACCATTCGCCGCGGCGTCTAGGAGCTGCCGCGGCGACGAGAGAAGGAGGGGGGCGCCTGAAAGTGCAAGTGGCACTTATTCTATATTTTGGTGTGATGACAATGTGGTTAGTTGAACTAATATCGGTTACTAAAGTTTATCGCAGGATATTGGTTCCAAGTGCTCCACGATGGAGATGTGCGACCCCCCCCCATTTCAAAAAGGACAAAGGCATGGTATTTCGGCGCTTCGAAGGTATTAGTTTCTGGTTTACTTCGAGTCGTAGGAAAGACCGCACTATTAAGAGGGGTCTGTGTGGATGTATGTTGTGTGGGAACGCCTTTGCCGAACCTTACTCTCTTAACCTACCCACTCCTACCACCTAAAAAAACCTAGTGTGTGCGCTAGTGGTACTTAGAAAGCTTGCAACAGAAAGATACTGGGTACCCCGTGCGCACGGGGTCTTTTTGACCCCCGCGCGCACGGGATACTGCGTAACTCTCTGAGTACCCCGTGCGCACGGGGTACTATGTAAACTCTCTGAGTGCGCATGGGGTCTTTTGACCCCCGTGCACACGGGGTGGTGTGAATCTCTCTGGGTACCCCGTGCGCACGGGGCTGACTTAGCCCGTGCGCACGGGGTCCAACGGGCAGATTTCCCCACCCGGCCAAGAACACTATATATACTCCCTTCTTCCACCTCCAACCTTGAACCCTAATGTCTTGTTGAGCTCCACCATTGCTACACCCCATTTTGCTCAATACTCTCAATCCCTCCACCCAAACTTGTTAAAACTTTGGGGATTGGGAGAGTAAGACCCGATATACAACTTGACCAAACCAAATCGCGTTCCCCGCAACATTTCTTCCCCATTGACTTGTTACTCTTGGAGCTTGGGCTCCTAGGCAGCTAGAGGTTCCTCCGGAAGCTTCCTTGCTTATGGTGTGCTCCGGAGAAGTTTGTAAAGGTGTGGTGGTTGCCTTCAAGACCAACCCCGAGTGATTCGAGGCTCATCCGTTGGGGGTGACTCGAAGGAGACTACGGTGAGCCTTCGGTGGCGTTCCGCAAGCCTTCGATGGCGTTCCGCAAGCTTTGGCTCCAGCACCGCTCCAAACAGAGAGTAGCTCTTCCCCAAGGAAGAGTGAACTTCGGGATAAAATCCACGTCCTAGTCTCACTTGTGGTTAATCCTTTCCCGCACCTTACTTTGTTGTTGTATGCTTGTTGGTGTGCTACTTAGTTTGTTACCTAGCATATTTATCTTGGAGCTTGCTTGTCATATAGGTTGCATTCACCTAGTTACATATCTAGTGAACTCTATTTATCCGCTAAGCCTTAAAAACAACAATAAAGATTAAAATTTGTAGTCTCCTATTCACCTCCCCCCTCTAGTCGACCGTATCGATCCTTTCAATTGGTATCAGAGCCTCGTGCTCTAATATAAGGTTTTACAACCTTAGAG